TCTATTGGAAATAACTGTCACAGGCAAGATGAGGGAAAATAATTGTTTTAGGAATTAATACATAGTAAAACAATTTCAGAAACAGCAAGTTAGCATTAAAAAATTCGAGTTTAGTCACAGTCCAAATGTATAAACTCTCTTGATTGACGACTCACTTATTTTTAGTGAAACATTTTAAATAATATCCTCCACCCTTGGTAGTCAATACAGTCTGTTCTGTACCTTTTTTTTTCTCCTTTTGAGATAGTGTCTCACTGTAGTTGAAGGCTGGGGTGAACTGACTGTGTAACCCAGGATGGCCTCAGCCTCCAGCCCAAGTGCTAGGATTTCAGGCATGGACCTGGCTCATTGTTTCTTAAGAAATGTGGCTTGTGTACTTTCAGTGAAGTTTGTATGGAAAGAGTCTTTCAGGAATAATTAGCTGGCAAGCCCTTGTGGGTTAATGGTTTTGTATTATGCAAATACTGCAAATAAACATCTGTATCTTCCCTATAAATCATATATATATAGTGGTTATACATACAAGAATCTAATGGTCGTATAATAAGATCGAAGTCTGAAAGTAGGAAAGGACTGGTTTTAGCTGTTTCCTTTTGTTGACTTTTTATTCTTTTTTTTGTACCAGGCATCAAATTGTTACCTTGCACTTGCAAAGCAGGCAGTGTTGACCTTTTTTTTTTTTTTTTTTTTTTTTTTGGTATGGTGTTAGGGATTGAACCCAGGACCACAGGCTTTCTAGGCAAGTGCTGGACAATGACCTACACCTCCAGCCTTTTTTGTTAACTATTTACATGACTAATCATCGTAGTAAATTTCTTGGCAGTAGCAGGGAAGGAGAATCTAGAAAAGATAAAAGATTCACACTTTAGTAGTGTTTTTTATATTACTGTTTTATTGTCTTTCCATTGGAATAAACAACTTGTCCATTTTGTGTCGTAGTGCTCAGAATATAGTGTTTTGTTTTTTGTTTTTGTTTTTTTTGAGACAGGGTCTCACTATGTAGTTGAGACTGACCTGGAACTCACTATGTAGTCCAGGCTGGTCTCGAACTCACAGTGATCCTCCTGCCTCAGCCTCCCGAGTGCTGGGATTGCAGGTGTGTGCCACCATGCCCAGCTTTTTTTTTTTTTTTTTTTTTTTGAGACAGGGTCTCAATGTAACCCAAGCTGGCCTCAGACTCATGGTGAGCTACATGCCTCAGACTAAGTGCTGGCATTATAGGCATGTGCCACCGTGCCTGGCTTATAGTGTTTTGCATGGAGCTGGTCCAATAAATGTGAACTGTGTAAGAAATAAACGTATAGTGGTTCATGCCTATAATTTCAGTAATGGGGAGGCTGAGACTAGAGAATGGTTACTTTGAGGCCAGCCTGAGCTATATAACAAGTTTGAGGGCTAGCCTAGGCTACAAGATGAGATCCTGTCTCAAATTTCAAACACACACCCCCCCACAAGTAACATAATACAAATGAAAGGCATAAATACCTGGAGAAGATGAAAGGGACTGGAGGTGGGATGCTTTTTTTTTTTTTTTTTTAATCACAGGTCTAATTTTTTAACGGTGTGTCTTTTTGGTGTGTGTTGGTGTCTGAGTAAAGGATATATGGCGGCATTTTGCCTCTGAAAATCTTACATAATGTAAGCTGAGTCTATCCAAAGTGCTGACAGATTGTGAATGTCCTAATATATTAAGAGAAAATGAAGTAAAGGAAGTGTAAGGTCCAGAGGGTAGGTTTTGGTAAGTTTAGTGATAGGGATTGAAAAGACATGAACTACAAAACATTGAAACAGGTTATAGAGAGAAATATTTTTTCTTTTAACTGGCTTTGGGAGAAAGAGCTTATACCTTCCCCTCTCTTTTTTGTAAGAATATTCCAGCTGCATGATTTCCAAATATTATTGACCCAAGCCTGATGACACACGCCTGTAATATGAACATTTGGGAGGCTGGGGCAGGCGGATTGCTGTGAGTTCAAGGCCATCCTGAACTACACATATAATGAAATGCTACCCCCCCAAAAAAATAACTGAATAATACTGAAAATGGTTTACTTTTCCTCTAATAGCCTTCTCCAAGGTTTGTATGTTTCTCTTTGTGTTTGCATGTAGTTTCTGCTCCAGCTTTATTGGCAATACACTTATTTTGATTCCTATTTAATTCTTCTGTATATTTCTCAATTAGTATATAATTTGAAGGACAGAAAAATGTGTTTGGTCCAGTCACACAACCCAACATAGACTTTTCCTTCTTGACTTTACATATGTTATCATAGGATGGTTTTGTGGGTGTTTGTAGAGATTGAGGGTAGAGAAGTATGAAAAATTTATGAAAGATTTTTTTAAAAGAGACATAAGCAGAATTTATTAGAGGTAGATATAGTATGTACTCAAGAGTGGAGTGGAGTGTAGGTATTCAGAAAAATGGGGCACTTAGGAGTAGTTTTGAGTCTTAATGCTTTCATTTTAGTAGATAGGGGGTAATTTTGTCTCCCAAGTAACATTTGACAATATCTGGAGAAATTTTTGGTGGTTAAACATTCAGGGGGACGGAGAGAAGAGGCATTGCTGTGACATCTGGTGGGTAGAGGCCAGGGATAATGCTATTTGGCTTTACTGTTTCCTAATGTGTTCCTGACAGGTTGCATAAAGTCTGCCTGTTTCTATAAAACAGAGCTAATATTAGGTTCTCAGAGGCAGGTACTGAAGATTAAATCACATAATGTGCAAAGCGCATTATGCACACACACCCTTGCAATCCCAGCTACTTAGGAGGTGAGGCTGGAGGTTGCAAGATCGAATCCAGCCAGTCTGGGGGAAGATCAAACTTAGCCTAGGTGACTATCTCAAAATTAAAAAAGGACTGGGGCCGGGTGTGGTGACGCACACCTGTAATCCCAACACTTGGGAGGCTGAGGCAGGAGGATCGCTGTGAGTTCAAGACCAGCCTGGGCTAAATAATGAGTTCCAGGTCAGTCTCAACTACATAGTGAGACCCTGTCTCAGAAAAAAAAAAATAAAAAAAATAAATAAGGACTGGGAATATGGGTATGTAGCATAGTGTAAAAAGACTTGGATTCAGTCTCTAGTACTGCCAAAAAACAAAGACAACAAACCTAGCTGTAGTATCATTAGAAAGTGAGAGAAAATTATTCCACTTAATATTTATTTTAGCCCAGTCTTGTTCCTCAAGTCTGTAAGGTTCTTCACATAAACAAAAGTAGCTTCTCACTTTAGATATTTTTCTTTCATAGTTAAGAATTTAAGCCAGCTGGCCAAGAGCTCTGTATCTGTTGATTCTCAGTAAATATTTAGAAGTTAAACAGTATTTCATTCTGTGACTTGATTCTCATTTTCTTTTGTTTTTATAGCCAAGTTCAAAGTGGTTTTGGTTCACATTTGTTACCTGTTTGTGACTTTTGGGAGTAACTATTTTGTAACAAGATCTTGGTACAGTTTTATATATATGAAGGGTATAGGCAGACATCTAGTGACTTGGGACTAGACTTTAATATACCTTTTGTGACTCTTCTAATTCTGAATTAGAACCATATCTTTATTTTTGTTACCTTGTTGCAATGTAATGTAGTCTCTGTAAAACACTTTGTTTTATGTCTAAAGGATATGGCTATTTAGGGCTGGCTTGCTGTGGGGTGGTTTGAATATATTAATTCTTTTTGTTTTGTTTTGTTTCTGTTACTTGGGATTGAACTCTGATGCTTGCAAGGCAGGCAGCAGAAGCACTGAGCTAAATCCTGCCCCCCCCCCTGCTTTCTATGCTGGGGATCAAACCCAGGGCTTCTTTCTAGTATGCTAGGCAAGCACGTACTGTATCACTTGAGCTACATCTCCATTCCCTTAATATTTTAAGAATATCATAAGCATGTCCTCATGGATAAAACAGACTGTTCATTTAGGGTTCCTCTAGCCAAAAAACATCCACATATTTGTGATCAAGGGGAAAAGCCGTGTTGTACCTTTAATGTTTTGTCTTTAAAACTGGAAGTGTTGGGGCTGGGGATTTGGCTCAGTGGTTCCACTGCCTGACTTGCAAGCACAAGGGCTGGAGTTCCATCCCCAGTACCAAAAAGGCGTGGGGGGAACAACCCCAGAAAGTGTTTTATTATTGTTGTTACCTATATTTTTATAGTATAAGTCTGAACTGTTTACATATAGCTCACTTATTTTGGCTAAGGGTAACCTTTGTTTACCCTTAGTGCTGGTATTATTTTATGTTTAAATATAGGAAGTTTGAAAGGAGTCAGTACTTTGGGCCAAGAGATGGGGTCTTTGTTTGGTACGCTGCATCTTTTGTAAAGTGAAATATACTGTCAGTTCTGTTTAAATAATAAATTATAGTGATGGAGTTTCTGTCTTGTGAAAACTGGTCAAATTAGAAGTATACGTATGAGAAATACAGTAAAAGGCTAAAGGGAAGCATTCTAAGGAAGTTATAATGGCAAACTGAAAAAAATGTTAATAAGAATTTTTGTGTTTACTTTTATCCTTTTGGAGTTTGGTAATCTCAAATTGAGGATGCCGGGCATGGTGGCACACCCTTGTTGTCTCAGCACTTGGTAGGCTGAGGCAGGAAGATTGACATGAATTAGAAGACTGCCTGGGCTACATAGTGAATTCAAGGCCAACATAAACTGCCTAATAAGACCCTGTCTTAAAAAAACAAAAAATCCCCAGATAACTCAAATTGAAAATCCTGCAAAATGTAACATTTGTTTTCTACTTGTAGAAGAATATTATGACCACTAAATTAGTATTATAATTGAGTTACCTTGCTGTTTGTTCCTACTCCTGATTAAATTGAGAAAAATAAGGATCCTTGAATCAGCTGATAAGTGTTTATAAGTGGTCTGGCACCCTGTCAGCCTAATTTTAGGTAGTATGCATAGTTGTTGGAAGATAGTTTTCCCACTAAGTGCTGTCATACAGATAGACATATATTTGTGAATGTGTATTTATGCATATTTGTGTTTTGTTTTTGGTAGAAAATGATGCATCCTGTTGCCAGCAGTAATCCAGCATTCTGTGGCCCTGGCAAGCCTTCCTGTCTGAATGAAGATGCCATGAGAGCTGCTGACCAGTTTGACATATATTCCTCCCAGCAAAGCAAATACAGCCACACAGTCAGCCACAAACCAATGGTTTGTCAGAGGCAAGACCCATTAAATGAAACACATTTGCAGACGACAAGTGGCAGAAGCATAGAGATAAAAGATGAACTAAAGAAAAAGAAAAATCTCAACCGATCTGGTAAGCGTGGCCGGCCCTCGGGAACCACCAAATCAGCAGGATACCGGACCAGCACAGGCAGACCCCTGGGAACTACCAAAGCGGCTGGATTTAAGACAAGTCCAGGCAGACCCTTGGGTACAACTAAAGCTGCGGGATACAAAGTCAGCCCAGGGAGACCTCCAGGTAGCATTAAAGCTCTATCCCGTCTTGCCGATCTTGGTTATGGCTGTGGTACTGCTGCTTTTCCTTACCCTATGATGCATGGCAGAGCAGTTCATGGGGTAGAGGAAACCAGCAGTGAAGTCAAGCCACCCAACGAGTGAGTGAAGCAGGAAGGAGGGCCAGGTTTAGATTAGAAGGAGATTGTGAATAATCCCAAAGCTTCTTGGTTTGATTTTGACATAAATAATTTTATAGCCTGGGCTTTCTGAATTTGTTTTTCTGTTTGAGTTTTGCCCCCTGCTTTTGCTCAGAAGCTGCCATATGCTTTCAGATGCACTCAGGGCATGAGCAGTGGCATTGTATTTGTACATAAATTCAAGCATAATACCTAACTAAATCATTTTTACTTTTCCTTATGACTGTATCTTACGTTTCATTACTATTTGGGGGTCATTCTTAATAGATGCTTTATGTACTAAACAACTGAAACCATTATACAAATTACTTTGTGAGGTAAGCCTGCAATATAAAGATACTCTCTAAGGTATTTTTAACTGATGGAGCAAAAAAGCAAATTTAAGTGATTCAGGATTACTTGAAGGTAATGGCTGTGTGTTTTCACATTTTCATGAGATTGGACACAGCTGTTTGTATGCTTTGCAATTTACTCGGATGTCAGATGTTAAAAACTTAGTTTTAGTGTTCTGAGTTTAAGTAGCTTATTGATCTACATGGCATTAATTGATTTAACCATTATTCTTAAAAGAATTCTTTAGGGTTTGCCTTTCAGCAGGCAATAGGTTATATATTTTTAAATTACCTATGAGCATATATACCAAACACTACAAACAGTTCATATTTACAAAAAATAAACTCTTATAAAAACCTGCACATTACATTTTTTTGTGAAATACAGTGCATTCTGAGAATAGCACATTTAATAGAAAAAGAAACATTCTTAAGGTTTGCGTGTAGCTACAGTCATTAATTTTTGCCTATCATATACTTAGTTTTAAAGTATTATGTTAAAAACATTTGTTGGTGTGCTCATTTATTTGGAATGTTTTAGTTTTTCTGAGAAATTGTCCCATTGCATTAACACTTAATTTCAGGTTTATATCTGCCAAAGGACACAAATGGAGTGCTAGACTGTAAAACTGATGTAAACAGTATGCAATTTCCTAACTCCTGGAACCCAAATACTGATGTTGGAATCCATCTATGCATCAAATATGTAAAAAAGTTTTTGGTTAGTCTGATTAAAAAACTTCTGTGGCTCTCGGGGACCACTTCATCCAAACAAAATTTTCCCCCCGATAATACTTTAAATAGAAAAGAGAAAAATGAGTATTGGGCAGATACATACACTAGAGACAGAAATCTCTTTCTTCCTGAAAGTAATATTTCTTGTTAATGTTTTATTCTGAGTTCTAAAACATATTATAAATTTAAGATTTGAAAAATTTCACTGAACTTTAAAGTTAAAATGTTTGTACATGTGATGTTAAATGCCTTTGAGATTAAAATGTAATTTTGCTGGACCCAAAACTTTTAAAATAATTAAAAGTTTAAAAGGGCACATACTGTGTTGGTTGGGCTTGCTCTCAGTTAATACAAACTCTGCAAATGGATGTCATGTTTCGTACCTTTTTTATCAGGAAAAAAGCAGCAAGCCTTCAGGTGTTCCAGTGATGCCTGACACAATGAGCTGGACTTTATGCTGCTCTTTACAGTAAGAGGTGTTGCATTATATGTGGGGACTGTGTGCGCACTGGCATCTAAGCCATGACCTCAACAGTATTAGCTTTGCACAAACCATAGTGAACAATGTTGGATAACTATATAATCACTTGTAACATTCTGGCAGCTAAAATGCTACAAGTTTCTTCTTGCAGAAGCTTAGACTATATAAAAAACAATAATTTCTCAAAACAGTATAACTTCTGACACACACAAATGCTTGCATCTTTTTCGTGTGTTCATCTATCTACTTTTCTTCTGTATCTGTCATTTAGCTGTTTCTAAAGATGATGTTCAGCAGTTGGCTGCTTAGGAATCCTTTCTAGTTCTTAAAGACAGTTGTTTAATTAATCTACCATAGAATAACACCATTGTCAAGAATTTGGTTGCATGTTTTACAGTAAGTTCATTTGTCATTGCCCTTTCATTTGTGATTTTGTTAAACATACCCTTCCTATTGCTTACCTGCCCTTTCCTGCATTCATTCTCTTCCTGTCTCCCCCACCCTCCAGCACATCTACTCAGTGGTGCTGTGCTGTGTGTCAGAAGATAAAGCAGGTGTATTATTGTATAATAAATTTTGTATACATGTTTATGAAATGGTGAACTAAAGGAGATGTGCTCATCACAGTGTTTATTATCAGAAGGAAAGGGAGGACAAATGGCTACAATTGCAATGGGTAACATTGTTTAGAAAGCTGAATTTACTGTTCATATGAGCAGTTACCTGGAATATTAGATTTATACACTGGTGAACATCTCCTAATTCCACTTAACTTTTCTCCATGTGAACAGTTTACTGGTGCCATGCTGAAGAGAAAAACATATAAGTGATAATATGAATGAAGTCTTAAAATGCAAAGTATTTTTACTTCTATATAATCTGAAGACTATATTGTGCATCTTTTGTAACACTGTCTCTTGTCATGATAAACACTGAAATAGCATGTTGAACAGTTGCTTATACTTTAATCAGTTGGGGAAAACTGGCCTTTTCCCTGCATTGTATGATTGTTCCTTAAAAGGCAAATCGCTAATTTTATACTGTGTAATTCTGTTCTTCACAAAATAGGTTTCACTATTCTATATAAAAACTGTTGGGGCAGAAAATGATCTGCTATTCAAGTAAGTTTGCTTTACTTTTTCTTTAAAAAGTATCTTAACATGCCTTATTTATTGTTACCATATTAACAAATAGGGTAATACAGGTGAAATTTTCATTTTTTGACAGATATAACCTTATATACTACTCTTTAATAGGGGGATGATTTTGATACTATCTTTGGAGTTTTGCACTGGGTATTAAAAATATACTGGCACAATGTATTGCAAGAAAATAAGTAGTATCTATTAATTTTTAATATTCGAGGACATTTTTTAAATCAGTGTTTCAATTAGACTAAAAAGTCTATTTTTTATTTACTTTTTGAAGAAACCTCTGTCAAAGTATTATTTGTTCCAAAACAGTGTTTCTGTGAATTTACATATATACTTTTATGAAATAAAAATTGTGTTTCTTTCACTTAAGGAGAAAATATGGATCCATTTTTTTAAGTTAAGGGTGATACATCCAGTGTAAGAATTAACTACTGTGTATGAGGTAAAATAAGTAAATAAATGAACTTCTTTATATTCTAAGATGCTTTAAAAAAAAGTTCAGGGGATATTATAACTGTTACTCTGTCAGTCATTGTCTCTATATGCAGTCAACTTCTATGATCCTTTTATAGTAAAATACAAGAATTCACAACAGTGGTTGAAAACATTTTTTCCCCCTTGGACATAAAAATTTTGATGCCATTATGTTTTTGTTTTATTATAGCTTATCTATTTGCTCTTAAACTCTAGGATGTATCTAAGTCTTTCCTTTGCTTTTCCCCCATCTGCGTAAATAGACACATCTGTGCTCTCACATATAATGTATTTAATTTTTGGAAAATTAAATACTGTAGTAAATCAAGTGTGTTATTTAAAGGAATCAGATTCTTTGATTCTTTAGGTTTTCAGTTTCTCTTTCCACAGATAATTATGGAGAAAATAATTACCAATTACTGATGATAAGCACGCTGTCCTCTGCTGTAAAAAGTCTGAATAGATACTGTGTATGTTTTTATGTCCATGAACTTGAGCTACTCATGTGCAATTATGTGTATGGGAATGGAGTAGTGTTCATGATTTGTATTTACATCATCATATGGATGTATATTTATTAATAAAGTCATTACTTTAAAACCACATATGTGTTTTCTACTTTATTTATTTATTGAGGTACTGGGGATTGAACGCAGGACCTTGTGTTTGTAAGGCGGGAACAGAGCAACTGAGTTAAATCCCCAGCTCTCCCACCTCTCTTTCCCCGTCTCTCTCTTACCCCTCTTCCCAGTCTTTCATCCTCCCCTTCTCCCCTGCTCCCTTCTTCCTTTCCTCCATTCCTTTTTTTGCAGTACTGGGAATTGAACTCCGGACATTGCACTTGTGAGGCAGATGTGGTGCCATTGAGCTAAATCCCCAGCCCACTACTTTTAGCATAGTACTTTTCAAGTAAGGAAATGAAACCTTTTCAGGATTACAGATAGTGTATTTTTCTTGAATTTTGTATTCTAAATCTACTCTGTACTTTTTTATTTTTCTTAAAATAGTTATATACAGAGTCCATCAAAAAATGTATAAAAAAGTATGATTTTTTTTTCATAAAAGAAAAATACTATGATTTTTTTTTTTTCAACAGATGGTGTTACCCTCCTTTGGGAGACCCTAGAGGATGTCATATATCAGAGAAAACCCACTATACTGCCGCCCCCTAGAGAAGAAATTGAAAATGCATGTGCAGCAATATTCAGTGACCAAAGTTACCCAGGCAGCAGTTCACCATACTAATAGTAAATGTCTGCAAGCTAAAGGCCACCCACTTTGAACACCTCTTTTAATTGTAGAGGCCAAAGTTGGGCATAGAGTGGCACATGCCTGTAATTCCAGCACTCAGGAGGCTGAGATAGGAGGATTGCTGCTAGTTTGAAGCTAGCCTGGGCTACGTAGTGACCCTCAAACAAACAAAACAACTATAGACGCCAAAGGTAATTTGAGTAACCTCGTGATGTCTCAATAAATTTAGTATTAAAATATAACTGTAATCCCAGGGCTAGGGAAGTGAGGCAGGATCACCATGAGTTCAAGGCCAGCCTGCATTACATAGACCCTTCTCAAAAAAAAAGCGAAAAACTAAAATATTTATACAAGTTTATATTTTATAGGTTGAAATATTTTAAAAATATTTTCCCTTAGTCCCCATTTTTGTCTGAAGCCTGCACATCATCTACAACAAAAGGCCCACTGCCTTTTGTAAATAGTTCTCCTGAAAAATAGATATTTGGTGTTTGTTTACAGATTGACTGCTTTTGCATTATAGTAGCAGAGTTAAAAAGTTGTAACGTAAGGCCCGCAAAGCCTAAAATGTTTACTCTCTTCCTGCACAGAAAAAATTACTGACGCTTCATGTAGAAGGATAAAATGGAGTATTCAGGCTTGAGTTGAACTCGCTGTGTATTCCAGGATGGCCTCATACCTTAAAAAAACCTTTAAAGGGGCCAGGGATTTAGGTTAGTGGTTCTGCCGCCTGCCTCTCAAGCGCAAAGACTGGGGTTTGATCCCTGGTACAAAAAAAAAAAAGTTAAAAAATTGGTGGCTTTTTTGGGGTGTATAATATTCTTCACATTCCACTTTTAAATGATGTTAAAGTGTATTACTGCTCCATTTGTTGAAGCCTGTGCACTTTGCATGAGCATATGCTTTTAATTAGATGTACTGTATTCTAGGAAAAGATCTACATCTTCAATACTATTTCAATACAATTTGCTGTGGTTCATAGGGTTAACTGTTCATTAAATATATTTTATTGCATTTTTTAGTTATTTGTAGAGTTTTATAAAAATACTTGCTCATCACAGTTATACTTGCTTGGTTTATTTATTTATTTATTTATTTATTTATTTATTTATTTATTTATTTATTTATTTTTGAGACAGGGTCTCGCTGTGTAATTCAGGGTGGCCTTGAACTCACTATGTAGCCCAGGCTGGCCTTCACCTCCAACAACCCTCCCTCCCTTGAGCATCCTGCCTCAGCCTCCTGAATGCCAGGATCACAGGCATGTGCCACCACACCTAGTTTAAAATTATACTTACCAAACTTTCCATTGTCTAGCAAATGTCAGCAGATTAGTGTGTTTTCACTTAAAAAGCTAGCCATTTGAAGATTAGTTTTAAAGCTGGTGTATTAGTGCACACCTGTAATTCCAGCACTCAGATTGAGGTGGGAGGATTGTGAATTTGAGGCCACCTTGGGCTACATAGTTCAAAACAAGCCTGAACTACATAGCAAGATCCTGTCTCAAAAGTCAAAAACAAAAAGTTTGTAGTTTAAGAGAAGGCAAGTTTCCCTTTTATTAGAATTTGTACCTTGAATATTAATGGATGTGCTTTTTTTGGGGGGTGGGGGTTTGAGACGGTCTCACTGTATAGTTGAGACTGACCTGGAACTCACTATGTAGCCCAGGCTGGTCTCCAACTCAATGATCCTCCTGCCTCAGCCTCCCAAGTGCTGGGGTTACAGGCGTCCACTACCACGCCCAGCCTCAGATGTGCTTTTTTTTTAATACCAACAGTTAAGGTTTTGTTTGAGAATCATGAACAACCTTTACAAAATACCAACTGATATTTGATAAATATTTTTCTGGTGCTGGGGATCAGACTTTGGACTTTGCACTTGCGAAGCAGGCATGGCACCACTGAGCTAAATCCCTGGCCCTGGAATTTGATAATTTTACAAGGTAGAATCATGAATTTGATACATATGTATAGAATGTTATAGTCATTGCTAAGTATAATAGATGTGGCTGCCACCGTACATATTGTTAGTCCCCCAAATGCTTTATTATTTTCTGAGGATTTTGTTAAGTGGGCCAGGATGTAGCTCGGTGGCACCGAATCTGCCTGGCAAGCACAAGGCCCTGAGTTCCATTCCCAGTACTGAGGGGAAAAAATCTTGTTAAGCAGATGGGGATTTTAATGCCATTATGTTTTTCTTTTTATTAGAGGGTAAGGCATTGCTAGGGATTGAACCCAGGGCCTGGAGCCTGGTAAACATGTAATGTACTTCTGAGCTTCATGCCCAGTTTGTATAAAAGCATTCAGTAAGCAGAGATGAATTGACCTACACAAATTACTGTGGTGGCTGTTGGCAAATCTAGAATACATTGTAATGTAACCTTTTGCCTACAAGGGAACTTGTTGCTGCTTCATCATTTATGGCTGCTATAATCTTTTCTGGAAAAAACAAAACAAAACACAGTACCCTATTGGGAAGGCTGAGGATAGCTTAATGGTAGCTAGCATAGTTAAGGCCCTGGGTGTGATCCTCAGCACTACAAAACAAAACATACCCAGATGGTAATGGGAGACAAAACAAAACATACTGAGATGGCAATATAATGGCTTCTTAGTTTAGTGCTGGACACACAGTACACACTTTTTTTTTTTTTTTTTTGCTCGGGGAGAGTTGCTATGTAGTTCAGGCTGGCCTTGGAGTCACTATGTAGCCCATCCTGGCCTCAAACTCAGTGATCATCCTGCCTCAGCCTCCTGAGTGCTGGGCTACACGTGTGCTCCACCACGCCTGGCTGATTTTTGAGACAGCTCACTAGTCCAGGCTGTCCTCCAGCGACCTGCAGTTTTTTGCCAAGTCCTGGGATTTCAGGTGTGCATCACCATGCCTGGCTCATAAAAGACTTGAACTTGCAGTCTTCCTGCTTTAGCTTCCTTCGTTGCTGGGATTACAGGCATGTGCAGCTGCACTCAGCTTTTTTTTTTTTTTCTGGAGAGTCTCCATTTATTACCCACTTCAGGTGTCTCCCACTGTGCCTGGCTAACACTTCATTAAGTCATTGTAGTTTTGTTGTTGCAGTACTGGGGCTTGAGCCCGAAGCCTTCATACTGAGCTGTATCCAAAACTCTTTAAAGATTGAGACAGTTTCACAGTGTTGCTAAATTGCCCAGGCTATGCTTGAACTTGAAATCCTCCTACTTAAGCCTGCCAGAATGCTGCAATTATAGGTGTGTGCCACCACGCTTGGTGTCATTGCAGTTTTACCGAATAGTAACAAAGGACTTGAGATACCCCTTCCACTAGTAGGAAGACTTAAATCTTAGAGACATTAAATATTTATCCAGGACCATATATACCCAGCAAGTGGTATCATGAGCATCTGAACTCATACCTTGTCTCTCTGATGTTCTTAACTGCCACCTTATACTTCCCTGGAGCATTCTTTTTTAATAATACATTCTGATCAGGTATTGTGCCCACCTATATATAATCCTAGTACTCAGCTCAGGCTAAAGCAGGAGGATGACAAGTTCGAGGCCAGCATAGCTATAGGATAGTGACTTAGACCCTATCTGAAAAGAAAATATAGGGCTGGGAATTTAGCTCATTGGTGCCGCTGTCTGCCTCGCAAGCACAAGATTCTGAGTTGGATCCTGGGTACAAAAAAATAATAATAATAATATAGCTACTGATATAGTTTAGTGTAGAGGCTCTGGGTTCAATGTCCAGTACTGGGGATAGTATAGTTTATATTTTCTATATATGTAACATATAATGGGGCAGTGTATTTCCTTTTTTTTTTTTTTTTTTTTCAATAATTTTATCTTGTTTTTATTTTCTATATATGTA